TTTATTCATTATTAGTATATTTAGCATTCCACACTAATACATCGAACTTACATTCGAGGTATTCGGCTGCTGGTGAAGACAATATACTCGTGACCATCCACATGTATAGCAATCTGCTCATGTTCTTTTCTGCTTGCAATCAATAGCATTCCTATCTTTTCGAGAATCCAGCAATGTCTGCAATTTTGCTAGTCGGCAAGAAAGACAATATGTCATATGGAGCAATCCACATCAGTTGACCGAGCACAGACCTTTGTGAAACTTCCCTTGTAGCTATTTATTTTTCGCTCTTCTCCGATGTTTGATATGATAGCGTTCTTCCTGATAGATTACCACTAACCATAGGCTCTGCAATCTGTTCATAACAGTTACAGTGTGCGCCCAATCAGCCCTATTTAAGGCATTTTTCATGGCTATCGTCCTCATTGCACAGTATTCTCTGGTTTCGTGAGCAGCCATCTTCTACGTTCGATAAATTGCTGGGCTATATATCAGTTATCTCGTTTATAGCACCCACAGCGAGACAATTTCTACATTTTGCGTGTGTTTGTTCATCAAGCTTCTTTGAAAAATGCAAATAGTGATTATTGGAATAAGAAGTAATATAATACATATGTCGTCAGAACGGAACCAAAAAAAAAGGAGGATAATGCTTTATAGAAAAAAGAAAATCGAGAATTTTTATATATTGCACCCTATAAATTGAAGGCGCGCACAAACATTTATCGCAAAAATTTTATATAGAGAAAACGATGAGAAAATTACATTCGACCGACCGATCCATTGACATACGTGCAAAATCTTGTTTATTTGCCTGAGATGATGAATATCCAAAAGTCCCCGCAATAGAAATACAAATTTTTATTTATTTTTGTTTTTGTTTTTACTCAAAATATGCATTGCTCTGCAAAAGTTTATATAAGCGTGAAAAACCCTCTCACCGCACACATTAGTACTATCTTCAATACATAAATATTTAATTGTTATTCATAATTTTTATGTATAGAAGACACATACAAAGACATGTTTATTTGTTATTATATGTGTACTTGTAGAATAACATTTTAAGGATAACGAGTCAGTAAAAGCAAATCAATGCGTTATGTAGCCTTGTATATGTATGTACTTAATTCAAATCAAAGTAAAACTGAAAATACACACATGCAATGATAAATAAAAAAGAATTTGAAAGAAACCGCCAAAAAGAAAAAAAAAAAAAAAAAAAAAAAAAAAAAAAACAGGACGTTGTTTGCTTATTTAAAATAGTTCATGAAAATAAAGGTTACGAATATGAATAAAAAATGTTTATGTACTATTAGCGGACGGGGGTCTATGAGAATTTCTATCATTACTTAAGATTTATATCGTATATATTTCTATATGTTTTTGCCAATATTGATGATAGAGTGTACAAAAAGAAAGAATGTTTATTCAGTTTTTATAATTTTTTTGTTTTTTTTTTTTTTTTTTTTTTTTTCTTCTTATATATGCACATATGCTTAAGGGCATATGGAAATATGAGCTGAAACTTTTTTCTTGTTTTATTAATGCATTCCTTATATATGTATATATGTATGTCTATATGTATGTGTATGTGTGGATACATAATAAATATTTTTTATTTAAATTATTGCCACACATGCCTATATATTTGCGTACATATGTATTGCATTCTATACCTAATACAAACGAATGTAATTTTATTTAAATATAAAATAAATTAAAACAATTTAAATAAAAATGAAAAAGATGCATGTTTCACAAACGTTGCGCGCGTTTAAAGAATAAAAAAAAAAAAAAAATCAAAATAAAAAAAAAAAAAATGCGAAGAACGCTCCTTAACCGCACCACAATTACAATTATATATTTGTATATCCATCTACTACTACTACTACTACTACTACTACTACTACTACTACTACTACTACT